TTGCAATATATTGTATGGCAAAGAAGCAGAACTTTGGGTGTTAATGAAGAAAAAATTTTGAAATCAATAGTTTGTAGTTGATGTGAAATAAATAAATATGGATCCTGGTTCTTAAAGCTTTCCAATTAAATAAGGGCTATCTGCCTATAATTAGTTGATATAGATAATATTTAACTGTTAAAATATTGAAATTTTTTTTTATTAGTTCTGGAGTTTGACTTTTCAAAATATATTGCTTGGGAAAAACATTCTTGATAAAAAGACTCGTATTCAGTAAGTAATTTTGCTGGCAAAAAGATTTTAAAAAAATCCTTCTCTGTAATTTTATGAGGCATCTACATTTCCAAGCAATTTCTGAATTGGTTTCCTCTGCTATCACTAACCGACAACCTGTGATTTATGGATTTGGAATAATTGAATTTCTTGGCTGTCACATACTTTGAGTAAGAAATATTACATATGTTTCCAGAAAAAAATGATTTAAGGAAGAAAAGATTGAAGAGACGCCAAGTTCTGAAACTGTATTTGGAAACTGTGTTCTAACCAAATGGTACTTAAGATGCTCTCTCTGACTTTCTGAAACATGTTTGCTAAATAATCTTTGAATAATTTTTGAAAGTAGGTTTGAACATAAGGTTTCTAAGCATGCTACTTTTGAGCTAAAATAAAGAGCGGAGAGCAGCATATTGTTGTTCTCACCTTTCCAAGCGCAACAAATGTAGAATTTTTTCAATAACGCATGGAAATGGGCTGAATAAATTTCTTCAAAAATTGGGGCTACACATCTCTTTTTACCTGTCAAACACAAAATATTTAGTGATTTAGTGAAAGCTTGCCATGAATATAATTTTTTTTAAAAAAACATGAACCCTCTAATGCAACTTCTCAACTTTATTGTGGTTTTGGTCTAAACTGTATTTTTGTGAGCTCAGTCCATGGATTGAACTGGTCCATCGACTTCAAGTTCCATGGAGTATCTTTTCATACGTTCTATTATAGGAGTCATTGGTTGACAGTGGCAGAACCTGTCTAAGTCCTGAAGGTTAGGAAGCAGTTCCCCTCTAGTGTTTTTGACTAGCATTGTCCCACAGGACTTTCTGAGATGATGGAAATCTGCTGTAACTGTTGTCCATATGTGGCTATTCAGCCCTAAGAATGTGGCTAGTTGAACTGAGAAACTGAATATTTGCTTTGTTTTAATTACTTTATATTTAAATAATCACATGAGATAAGATAGTGGCTATTGTATCAGATAACATAGGTCAACCTTAGAACAGTGAGTTTATGACCCTGAGCAGTTCAAGTCTACTTTTGTGGGTAGCATTAACATTGGCTGCTCTGGGTAATGTTCAGAGGTTTCCCTGGGTGATTCTAAATTATGGGGCAATGGTTCCCTATCAAAGAGACAGGTCAAAATTTGCTAGGACATTTTTGGCTGTTACAACTGGAGAATCCTCCTGGCATTAGAGGGTGGGGCCCAGAGGTGATTAATGGCCTGAAATGTATAGGACAGTCTGCCGATGAATTACTGTCCACCTCAAATGCCAGTAGCAACCAATTTGACAAACCCAAATAGATTAGCAGAGTCCTCTAAATACAGACATTCCTTGACTTATGTTGGAGCTACATCACAATAAACCCATCATAAGTTGAAAATATCATGTGAGGAATGCATTTAATATACCTAACCTGCTGATTATCAGAGCCCTTAGCCTAACCTACCTTAAATGTCCTCAGAATACTTAGATTATCAGGACATAACCCCACCGTAAGTCAAGGAGCAGCTGTAATTGCCTTCCTCTTTCTTCTCACCAGAAGCAAGAGACACATTGGGCATTTTGTAAACATGATGGGATGAAAAACACAAAGCATAATATCTAAAAACACTGGCAACATAGTCCTACACTGTAGAGTATTGGTTGTTTACCTTCAGAACCACGTGGCTGATGGGGAGATGAGGGTCCCTGCTGCTGCCCAGAGTCTCCAGAGAGGATCTTCCTGCTACACTGTAGAGTATTGGTTGTTTACCTTCAGAACCACCTGGCTGATGGGGAGATGAGGGTCCCTGCTGCCCAGAGTCTCCAGAGAGGATCTTCCTGTAGGAGAAGGGCAACATTCAAACCTCGAAGTACAGTTTCTAACGAATGCCTATAGCTTTTGCACCATCGGAAAGTTGAAAAATCCAAAGTCCAACCATTGAAAGTCAGGGACCATCTGTACTGTGGTTTCATTTGTGAGCTCTCCTATGATCTCAGTCCTACCTATAGGTCATGCTATCTCTTGTGATCCGATCTTGTTTTCTTCTGCCTCCTCAGGGACCTCATTTTCTAATTATGCTCATTTTGTCTTCTATATCCAACCACTCCCTCTCTATCTCTAGCACATTCTAATCTATCCTATCTCAAATAATATCTTTTCTTACTTCCATATACTCAGGCTGGGACCATCTCTGCCTTCTGTCCCCTGCCAGCCTCAGAACAGAACATTTATTCACCTAGCTATCTGAGGAAATTACTCTTTTGTTGTTGTTGTTAATCCTCACCAAGAGGATATTTTTTCCATTGACTTTTTGAGAGAGAGAGAGGAAGGGAAGGAGGGAGGGAGAGAGAGAAACATCTATGTGAGAGAGACACATTGATTGGTGCCTCCTGCACACTTGCCCTGATCAGGGTGGGGAACAAACCTGCAACCCGGGTACGTGCCCTTGACTGGAAATTGAACCCAGGACCCTTCTGTGAGCAGGCTAACACTTTAGCCACTGAGATAAACCAGCCAGGGGTAGGAAATTACTTTTTGTATTGTGATGAAAAGAAAGCCCACACCATATGTAGTTTCAAAAGATGCCATTTTTATTACATAGACATATCAATAGAGTCATCATACCATATTCTACTTTTAAACAATTGTATATATTTGTGTGTAGGTGTGTACACATACACACACATATATGGTTAAAAAATTTAAAGATGAGTCCACTTTTAATCTTCTATGCTTATAATAACTGCACCTTTTGCAGCTAGTCTCTACACCACCACACCAGTTTCACATATTCTTTTTCTATTTTAGGATCACATTACTTTTTCCCAAGGGTAGGCTCATAGTAAAGCTGTAATGCAGTCACTTAAAAACACTCTAGTTCATAGTTCATTGTATTGTGAAAATTAAATTTTCAAGTACTGCAACAATGTCTTCCTAACCCCTATCTCAAAAAGAATGACTACACATCCCAAATATATCACTCTAAGAAACTGAGACCTGAAAATGTTGGGTTAAAATAACTTACATTTAAAGATATAGCTCTCCTTGGTTAAATACACTGTAGACTATTTGGAAAATTGTGATGATTGTATTTCTTCTTAACTCTATGTCAAAGCAGTGGGATGCCTACTTTTGTCCTTTAAGTGTGATTTCATAAATTATTTCAAAGGCAAGAAAAGATCTTACTGATGTATTATAACTGCGTATTGTGCAAAGATGTCTATGAAGAAATGTAACCTAAAGTTAGAGTTGGTGATTATTCTTTCAGTACAAGACTGTATCCTTGGATAAATTCAGTAGGACCACATACACACAAAATATCTGCATTGTATAGTTTAGATTTCCAGAAACAAAGATCATGCCTGCTTGTGGCATCCAATGAACAGTGCTAATGTTGATTCACTGTCTGAGGTTGCATTTATGGCAACTTCTATAATCTACTGGATAATGAAGTTATCCAAATGAGTTGGGAGACTTCAAAAACTACACTGCACAACCATAGTCCAGTTGTTTCTTTGACTGGATACAGCCAGACATTTTTAATGAGCTGATTTAAATATGGTAGGTCATAATTATGTTGCTCTAAAACTAAAAGACCCTCAGATTTCCATTAGCTGGAATTATTATTTTCTTAGCACAATTAAAACCCATATTTTGCTTTTAATTTATAATATGTTCTCATACTAGATATTAAAGGTGTTAATTTACCTAGGGTTCAGTAGGCAAGTCATTAAAAAATCAGTTGAAAATTTATTAGCTTTGGGGAAAAATAAAAGTATGCAATACAGTGAGAGTTGTATATTTTAAAATATGAGTTCTTTATCTGCTGCCAGAGGTTATGTTCTCATAAATATTTTCAAAAACCATGCTATTTTCTTGCCTATACATATTGTCTCAGGTTGCTATTTTAACATTCCATCATGGAAATATTGAATCTTGCTATGTAAATGTGAGCCTATCCTCTTATTTTCTTCTACAGAGAAGTCTTTCAGGTTCTTTGGATATATGTGTTCTTAAGAAAGGTTTGTCTGTATTATTCTGGAATTATAAAACAAACAAAACACTAAATTAAATTATGGCAAAGCTAATTGTAACTTCATCATTTGGGCATACTTCTCCCATCCTTTCATATAATTTAATTGGGCTGTAAAATGTTTAAAATGTAAATATCATGAATAATCAACAGTAATTATGTGGAAGTACATAATTTAAAGTTATGCTTATAAATCAGTATTAATAATTGTTATTACATAAATACCATAATAATAATAAAATAGCCAAATAACTAAGTAATTTATCTTTATATTACACTGTTCAGATCACTCAACTCTATAAATCTCAACCGCAATAATTTTTACAGCAGACATAATAAAAAGAATGAAAATGAACAAATTAAGTAGAAATTAAAATGTGATTTTGGGGTATAGAAAAGCCTTGAACAATTGCTTTCCCACCTCTGTGGGAATGGAATCTTGATAACACCCCACAATATCACAATTTCTTTTCTACTACCTACTTACATTCATGATGCTATACATATGTGCTGTATATATTTTCAATATTTACAGTATACAGTATATACGCACATACACACACATAGTTTGTTTTATTCTTAGGCTCATTCATGAACATGCAGATCAATCTGCACAGTATGATCAATACATGTTTATTTGCCTTAAATGATATTTATTCATTTACAACTTTTCACTCTTGTGCAAAAATGCAAAAATATCATACAGATTAGTGTTCTCTCTCTAAAAAAATCTTTTTTTATGGTTTATGTTATTTTGTCATTTACAAATAAATTATGAAATATAGTTCATTCACAAGTTGAAAATAATTACAATGTTTTTACAACAAGGCATTGCTGAGGTTTTGAATCATGGCTTTCTTGAAGCCACTGTCTTTCAAAACAAAGACATCAACAAGTTATTGTTATTTTTGATACTTGCACTTTTTGAATACTTATACGAAATAGGTGATAACAAATCTAACACTCATGCTAGTCAAATAATGTTTGTATAGAAGAGGAATCTTTCAGTTTCATCTTTTCCTCTTTTTTCCCCACTGAAAAGTCTTTTTTAGAACCATCTGGAAAGTGTTGAAATTACTGTCCTAGAACATTTCTGGACAGTTTTCACCTAATAAAAAAAGCTGAAGACACAAGAGAGGCAAAATAGAGAAAGAATAATTGTAGTGGGTGCTCGGGAGAGATAACAGCAAATGCAAGAACTGTTTCAGTTTCATCTCCTAGTCCTTTGGTATTTCCTTGCCTCGTGAAAATCCTAAAAAATGTTCAGTTCTTTACAACATTAATTATACTCTTCCGTTAAATATCAGGTGTGGTCCTCCATTGCTCATGTTGTCTGTCATTTCCTGTTAGGAAAGCAACATGAATTAATTAACATTTCTTTCAGAGTAAGACATTGATTTGATTAATGGGTTTGCAAAACAGACATTTCAAGCCATTGAAAAACTTGCTGAGTTTTGGGGAAGGTCGAGGGTTGATATTGGTGTTGCGTTTGAGGAAATGAAATTTCATGGCATCTCGGGCACATGAAAATGCTGAAGTGACAGCCTCTGAGACCAAAGTCTTCTGCCCTCAAGAACAGTTCAGTCTCTCCCCGGCCCCGTTTCCCCGTTCGTTCCTTAACTCTCTTTTGGAAAGGCCTACCTAGAAAGAAGAAGATGATTATATGCCCACATTTCTCCAGTGCAGGCTCCTTTGCTGAGCATGTCAACAAAGGGCCAACGAGGGTTACCTTCATTCTATAGAAAAGTGCATGGCCTTTTTGCTAAGAACTGAGAAAGGCCCACGCGGGGACTGAAGCTTATTTGTGATTGTAAATCACAGTGGAAAGAGTATGTTCACAACACTGTTACTCATTCAGTTAAAAAAATAAAATTCTTAATATGTGTTTGTAGGGATCAATTATTCATAAGGAAAACTACATGGGAAGGCAGTAACATTTAAATATAAAAGATGACTCAACATAATAAGTTCCATTTGCAGTGATAGAAAATATGTTAATTTGAGAAACATTTGGAAGCTTTCAATTTGTGTTTTATTAAACATTAAACTCTTCCCTACACAATAAAAGGTAGTGAGGAGGTGTAAGGCCCATTCACATTTATAATGGCTAATGCACCAGATTATAAAGAATATTTTGGCAAAACTATCTGAAAGTAGATGACGACATCTTCCCTCATTTGAACAAGCCTATTTGCAACAACGTGGTAAAGAATAATTCAAATGGAAATTATCTTCTCAATGATTTCAAGCCTATCAGTTATATCAACTTTTGGTTTGGATGAATTAACAATTACGAAGTAAAGCGTTTGCTATTATAAACTTTAGAAATTCTTTCAAATATTTATTTGAAAATGACAAGTCATCCATACCTCATTTTTAGTCTTTATTTCTTTGAAAATTCAATACAGAAGGTAAAAGAGTGAACAGGCTTGCTTTTTTGGATTGGGTGGTTTTGAAAGATGCTTAGGAGGAGCAATGAGGGTCTTGAAGTTAGGAATCGGTCTGGTGTTTGAATCTTACTTTTGAAAACTTTGCTGTCTTTTAGAGGATGGGTATAGAGTTTCTTCCAAGAGGATTGTGGGAAAGGAGACACTAGGCATTGGGGACCTTGCCTCTCACATCAAGACCTGTCTTTGCATGTAACATGGCCCGGCCCCTTCCAGGCTCTAGGGGGTTGGTTATCTTGTTCCTGGGCAGCCATTATGTCTCCCCCAGTAACATGGCAAGAAATTACTAGAAAAAAAAAGCCTAAAAACTCAAACTCCTTTAGGATAAGGCTCTGATAGGAAGTGGAGAACATCCCTCGAGCCAGCAGCTAGCCTCTATGGTCTGGTGATGGTTCAGCTAATTGAGGGGCTGGCTCTGTTAGTGATATATGAGGTGGAAGTAGGTCTAAAAATACACTGAGATTATTGAGCTGTGGTTAAGTTAGTAGATAAGAAACCTGATTTGAGGCTTCATTCAAGAACTCAGTGTTGGTGGCAAGATAAGTAGAACTAATCCCTACAAAACAAAACAATCTTTAACAAAATTTACTCATACACCTTTTTTCTGCTTTTCCTACTAGAACAAAAATACAATTTCCTAATGAATTTATAAGAACTAAGTTCCTTAGATTTCCTATCTTCTCCTAAAATGACTTTGAATTAAAAATGTAGCTTCAAAACTATTTAAAAATTTAATCTAATTATAATCTTTTATTGCAGGATTTAAAAATCCAGTTTTTAGAAATATTACCAAAAAAAAGAATTTTCTTAACTAAATTCATCCTAATACAGATACAATAAAATTATCGATAAAAAAATAACAGTGAAAATCAGTTTTTAACTGGATGAGTATCTTGAGCTTATTTGTAAGTAGGCACATCCAACTTAACAAGATTATACTCTAACTTTGGGCCTGACCAAATGGGAGTATTTGCAAATGGACATACTTTCTGCAGTTGGACCACGGTAGCTATGTGACCTTCTGTAGTTCCAATTCTATTGTTTAACCAAACCAAGAATGGCGACTGCTTTCAGCAATCCAAAGGGAGCTAAATTTGAAATGCATCACAGCAGATAATTTTACAAGAAGAAAGTTTCCCTACAGAATGGTTACTGTCTTCGTGCCAGACGTATCTGCTCATGCAATGTTGGCAGGAGGCCGATGCAGTTTGTCTTTATCAGATCCGTCTACGATTAAAAACAAAACTCTGGTCTGTGAAGGATGAGACTGAGTCGGAATCATGATGTAGCAGAGAATAAAGGAGTCGGGAATCATCCAAGCAGCAAGGTGTTTGGATGCTTAGAGGAGGCTGAATATTTTAAATACTCAACCAAGTTTCAAGCTGCAAAATCTGCCATGTAGGTTATGGCAGGTCCTCAAAGTCGCTCTCATGAAAGCGGTACTTTGAGGCACCACATCCAGCCTCAGTCGAGGCTGATCTGCTGACACCATGGCTTCCTGGAAGAGGCAGCACTTTGGGCAATGACATTACAACATGGCAACTCCCTAGAAATTCGCGTACCTTGTAGGTAACTCTGGTGTCGGGGGCACCACCGGGCAGCTGGGCAAGTCGGTTATTTCAATAGCCCTCAATCTCTAATATAAATATAACAATTATACAGTAAATATTGCACACACATATACACAAAAAACTACATCACACTAGCATAAAAAATAGAGCAGGAGACAGCCACTATCCAAATCTATACTAATAAAAGGATAATATGCTAATTAGACCAGGAGATCTTCCGGGAGACTGGCCAGGGAGGGCAGTTGGGGGCCATGAGGCCGGCAGGGGAGGGCAGTTGGGGGCCATGAGGCCAGCAGGGGAGGGCAGTTGGGGGTGAGAAGGCTGGTGGGGGGGGCAGTTGGGGGCGAGCAGGCCCACAGGCAGAGTGGTTAGGGGCGATTGGGCAGGCAGGCAGGTGAGCAGTTAGGAACCAGTGGTCCCCATGGGATCGGGCCTAAACCAGCAGTCGGACATCCCCCTAGAGGTCCCAGATTGGAGAGGGTGTAGGCCGGGCTGAGGGACACATCCCACCCCCCATGCACAAATTTTGTGCACCGGGCCACTAGTATATAATAATAATCTACTTTGAACAACCCATTTCTGTACATGACCAGTCTTACTATTAACTCTTTTTTGAAGGACACATGTAAATCTGTTTAAAACTGCTTTCTTGAAACAATTTAAGAGCATTTATTCAGCTTATCGGGATGTAAACAAAATAGAAACACATAAAACTACAGAAGAAATACCTTTTCTTCAAAATAACATTATATAGAAATACCCAGCACTAATTCTTGCAATTCTTTCCTCTATTCTGTGGTCTTGCAGTTTTATTTCCCTGATATCAAGTAAAATATGATGTAGCCATTATCTTAGTGAGTTTATGTCACAGATACTTGACTTTCCCTTAATAAATCCAGTAGCAGGAAGTACATTTTAAAATATATGCAAATATAGTAGAAACACAGACAGCTCACTATATCATTTGTCCTTTTCTGTGGTAAATGTAACTTCCTGATTGAATGGGTTTCATGAAACAATTATGCAAGGACCACTGTTTAAATTACAGGCAAAGCTACCCAAATATGCATGAAGTGTAGATGAGAATTAAGTGAAGCTTTATGTGAATTGTAATTTCTGCACTGATAGGCAAGGCTTTTTGTCGCCTTATTAAAAGGCCCTTTTATGCTTGAAACCCTAATTTACATAATCAAATGCATCTCCTTACAAGCACAAGGGTGGGCTAGAAAGGCGAATTCATCCGCTTTCTAAAACTGGCGTTATTGAGTTGAGAGTGTATTTAGTGTTTTTCCTCAGTACAACACATAAAAATCCTTATTTATTAGGCATTGAATATTTTATGAAATCGTATTTTAGGAGCTGTGTTTTTTTGTATAGAGAGGCTACAAAAGTAGGTTGAAAATAAGTGTATCCAGAATTGCAGAGAAAAAAAGTAATAAATTCCTATCCTTAATCCAATGGGACCAACATTTCACAAAATCTAATTTCTCACTTTCTCATCTAAAGCAACCAGTTGGTTCACCTAGATTTGCCTGCGGTCTTCATCACATAGCAGCCGCGAGAGAAAAAGGTACGAGACTCACTTTCTCAGCCATCTCATGGGAGTGATGCAGGGAATGCTCCCTCTCCGAGAACATCCTCCTCTGTTCATAGCTGGCCAGGCGACAAGTGAGCCATGAAGAGAGGGTGCAGCCCCCGATCCCAATGCACGCAAGGGACATGGAGGCCAGATGCAGGGGGTAGAGGGAAGAGGTCTTTCTTGTCACAGCCCGAAGGAACTGAAAGTTCAGGATGCCCCCGATGAGGCCACAGATGCAGCAGGCGGAAAAGAGGATCATCTGGTGAGAAGAAGGGAGTGTTAACGTTGAGAAAGGATGGTTGAACTACAATAAAGATGTTTTTGGTGCTTCTCACAGGACAGGAGCTGTGCTTTCACCAAGATTCTATGTCATCGGACTGAATGGAGAGGGTATAGATCACAGTGTTCCCAGAATTAAGCGCTGACCATACAGAAGCCAGGGACACATCTTATGAAAACTCTGAAGTAGCAGAACTGGTCTTCTAGGTAGATTCAGATTTAACTAATATTGATTTAATATCTACGATGTGCTACTATGCTAGGAACTTGAACAGATACCTCAATGAACCCATCCAGAAATCCTCTGAGAGAGGCAGGTAACAATCTTACTCAGGGACTGAGCCTATATTTTCTGACTCCAAATCCAGTTTCACTATGTGAAACCCCCTCGCCCCCAAAATATCTAAATACCTTTTCATTGAACTGCCATTAGTTCCACAGGCTTCAGATCTTTATATTTCTTTAGTTTTGTGATCTGAGGAAATTGAGTTGACTATTTAATTTATAAAAATTTTATTGTGTGTGTATTTATTTCCCCAATAGGAGCTTCAGGGACTCCCCGTGAACTGACCCTTCATCTTACAAAACTTGTGTTACTATGTGGCACCACAGTGAAGCCTACACAGTAGGTATTCCCACAATACACTTGAACTGGCTGCTTTGGAGAAACTCAGTATGTGGTTTTGCTTTTGATCCTCCTATTGGCTTGATGTGGGTCTCTATTAATAGAACCAAAGTGTTGTTGTTTTTTATTCAAAGTAAATATCACAAGGTCTCTGGTAGAACTAAGTATAATGCCTGCTGTGTAGCAAATGTTTTGTGAATATTTAATAAATTTAATAGAATATTCTAATAGCTTTAATAATTTTATTTTATTTTGCACGAGTATCTAGGGTTTTCATGATAACTTACAGTATGATGCTAATTTAATTATCTAAACTTATTTCCATATTCTCCTGGCATAGCGCCTATTCTTGTCACCTCTCTTATCCATCGATATAGCTTGTACATTCCTACCTCAACAATATGTTCATTTCCTGATAATAACTTTGCCTTTTTTCCTTGGACTCTTAGATGGAAGGCCCAAATCCTGTCCTATTTCTCAGAACATTTCCATGACTTTACTGATCTCCTCCTTTGGCATAAATCCTCAGAGCAAACAGCTGTACAACTGACTTGAGCATTTAATTCTACAATATCAGGTGTTTTGGCTGTTGACAGTTGAATCTGGCAAGCACGTATTGAGCACCTAGCATCTGTTAGGTCTTGAGTGAGGTAGCAGTTGGCATTATAAAAAAGAACAGCTCATAGTTATTCCCCTTGAGTACATTGCAGTCTTGGAGAAGATCCAACATTTCCACATGGAGGTGAATGGGTTGCCCTCAGAGTAGGGAGCAGGGCAATTTAGCCCAACCGGTGGTTTCAGACAAGACTTCCTTGACCATGTGTCATCTAAGCTAAGTGCATGCAGTTCCTAGTAAAGGGTAAGGCCATGGATGCATGAAATAGCACAGTAAAATAGCATGATAGGCAGAAAGAACTACAAGTAGTTCCTTTTATTTCTCTAACTTAATTCAGCATTCCTTATTGTCTGTCTCATGGTACTTATCAGCAAGGCTAAAAATCTAGTGATGGATGAGTAAAATATTTTATAGCGATTAATTGTAATACTGAGTATCAATTACCAAATAATTGAATCATCCCAAGTGGGAACCTATAGCTTCCAATTCAGGTAGAACCAATCAGTTATATTTCATTTTTAAAGTATATTCAGGAAATGCAGTTTCTTGATAATATATTTTCATGTTTAGTCATTCTCAGAAAACATGAAAAGATATTAAATTTTACCTTTTTATGAAGTCATTACTGTTAATTAAGAAAAATGGCAAATTCAATTGTCTATTAGAGGAAAAGATATTTCTTCTGATGTTTTTCTTAGTAATCCTTTAAAGGCACCAGACTTTATTAACAGGCGCAGATAGAGCATTCTCACCTAGGAATTAAAATGTAAAACCTATACCCAAATTTATGCACATTTGCATATAAATTCTTTGGTTAGTATCATCCTGTCCCTCACCACCCCCTCTTCCTCTGAGATTCAACAGTCTGTTCCATGGATCTATTTTGTTCATCAGTATATTTTGTTCAGAGTAGGGAGCAAGGGAATTTAGTCCAACCAGTGGTTTCAGACAAGACTTCCTTGACATGAATGAGATCATGTGATACTTGTCTTTCTCTGACTGGCTTATTTTACTTAGCATAATACCACTCTTCAGGTCCCACATGTCTAAGCAATGGGGCCTTCAACCTTTTTGTCCCAATAGATATTCTCACAGAGAAAGATGTGATTAGAAAAGGAGTTAAAAGAACTGCACTACTGCCTCTTCCTTGTCCTCCTCAGATAACTGGTCTCCGCGTTCTCACAGAGAAAGATGTGATTAGAAAAGGAGTTAAACAAAAGAACTGCACTACTGCCTCTTCCCTGCCCTCCTCAGATAACTGGTCTCCGCTTGGAAACTCCTTTTAGGCTCAAAGATCACTTCCTAGGGTCCATGTATAGTATTCATTTCTCCAAATTTTAAAGGTATATTTTCCTATTGTACTCAATGAAATACACCATGCCTTTTCCTTCTTTCCAAACTCTCATAAAATGCTGTGGAAGGCAGCGGGGAAGCCACATTCGAGCACGCAGAAGCTGTCCCCCAGCCAACATCGGAGTTAACTGGGAGCGTGTTCCATACCCCGAAGCCCAGGATACACCATAAAGCATCTGAAAACACTTACATTTGCATTCACAGCAATAAAAAAATAAAAGAAACATCTTTGTGAATTAACTGTCACTATAACAACACAGCTGTTTTGCTGCTTTGTAAAATTAACTTGACAGTCAAACAAAGCCAGCAATGCTTAGGCCCAGTTCCATATTTAAACAGTTAAATTTCCCATGAACTCAAGTTATGTCTTTTTCAGTTTATGGAAGGATTCATGCGAATGTTTAGGAGTCTATAAATTGGAAAAGTGGATACTGTCATCCACAGAAGTCATAAAGGCTGCATATTCATGCATTTAAAGAGTATATCAAAGCCTTTCTTTTTCTCTCTTTCTTTCCTTCTTTCTTTCTTTACTCATAATCTATAATAGTCTTTTTTTTAATCCTTACCCAACGATATTTTTCCATTGGTCCCTAGATAGAGTGGAAGGGAGAGGGAAAGACAGAGAAATATCGATGTGAGAGAAACACCTCTATTGGTTGCCTCCTGCACAAGCACCAACCAGGGCCTGGGCCTGGGGAGGAGCCTGCAACTGAACCATGTGCTCCCAACTAGAATCGAATCCGGGACCCTTTGGTCTGCCAGCCGATGTTCAATCCACTGAGCAAACTGGCTGGGGTACTAGTAATTGTGATGTTTTTCTTTGAAAATAAAAAAGCCAGGATTTATTTGTCAGTCCTTTTGCTACCCTGTGAATGAGTCACATTCAACATATGAAAGTTGACTAGTCACCATTTCCATATCTGAGTTCTGACATTTCAAATACTTCAATGCACAACGCAAACAAGGCAGAAACTTACGATAAGTCCAGATTTTTTTTTGGCGCACAATATTCCACATATGCCACAAAGAAGAAACTGAAAAGGAAAAAAACAACAATCATTTCACATCCAAAGGTAAAAGAACGCCTAGTTTTTAGCTTATAGTTCACTCATGACATTTGCTCCAGGGAAGCTGGAAAAATTTATGCTCCCATTTAAAGCTGAAAAGGAACATCCTCCATTCCAGAATAGGAAGGGATAAAAGTGTAAACGCTAATGAAAGTTTGGTTTTGTCAGATTGATATGGGTAATTGTGGGATCTAAGCAAAACTTGAATCAGTTTTACCACCAGCCAAAATTAGGAAGTAAATGAACTTAGAGTCTGTTCCTCCTGTTTCCATTCATTGTCTTCTTGTCCTTTCCCACTTTCTCAGGGGGAGGAGAGGTGTGATACAATCATTCCCACTAAGCAATCAGAAACCAATGGGCTATCCTACAGGTAGGAAATCTAGCACTAATGAAAAGATAAGGCATCAGACAGGGACATGTTTTTCTACAGAGACATTCTTTATACCTCTCAAACTATGTCAGGTAAAATAGCTACCCCCTCCTTCTGCCAGAAATACTGTCCTTGGAGATATGTCAGAAGAACACAGGGGATGAAGCTACAATAGCCCCCCCATCCACTGGGGACACATTCCAAGACCACCAGTGGATGCCTGAAACCGCAGGGTTCCAAACCCTATATATACACTTCATTTTGTCCTTTTCATACATACCCATAATAAAGTTTCACTTATAAATCAGGCGCAGTAATTTATAACTAATAATAAAAGAGAACAATTATAATAATACTACAGGCCCAGTGCACGAATTCATGCACTGGTGGGGTCCGGCCAGCCTGCCCCAATTGGGGCCAATCAGGCAGGGCTGGCCAGGGGGAGGGGCCGAAGGTGGTTGGCCAGCTGGCCTTACCCCCTGGTCAAACTCCTGGTTGAACTCCCAGTTGAGGGGACAATTTGCATATCAGGCTTTTATTATATAGGATACTGTAAAAATTATGCAAATGAAGTCTCTTTCTCACTCTCAAAATATCTTATTGTACTATACTCACCTTTTAACTTAAAGGAAGCACTTTATAGCTTCTCTTTGGCATATCTGAATTGCCAGCATCACTACTCTGGTGCTTTGGGGCCATTATTAAGTAAAAGAAGGGTTAGTTGAACCCAAACCTTTGATATCACAACAGTTAATGTTATTTCATCACTTTACTCAGAATGAGGTGTAGATTAAATTTATAATCTTTTTACTTTTGGAATTTTCCATTTAATATTTTCATACAACAGTTTTCCACAGGTAACTGAAAGAGCAAAAAGCAAAACCATGGATAAGGGGGGGAATATTATATTGATGGCATCTAATTTCTTGTAAGAAAATACATGGCTGACCTATTTGCTTTGCAAAATTAACTGCATCAATTTACCTATCAATGACAGTTGTCAAAAAACGGTAAATTGTTTAAGTTAGATAGAAACAGGGCCATTTAAATTGCACATTTATGTATAATTCTGGTTGAGAGGAAACCATGTAAATAAAATAATCATTCATTAATAAATAGTAAGCTTACTAAGGGCTTTCAGATTAGCAAAGAAAGCTTTGAGTTATTTTAAGACAGCTTATTGAATTTGTTCCCCACATAACGTTTACCCACCTTAGATGAAATAATTTTCACTGAAATTTACTTCTACAGAAATACACTCATTAGTGAATAGAAACGAGCTTACATTTTCCCCCTCAAGATAATGAGCTGAATCTCAAATGAGCTTTAATACTTTGATAACCTTTAAAGATTTTTATATGATTTTATCAAAACCAGTAAATTTTTTAAAAAGAAGCATTATGCTAAGCGAAATAAGCCAGTCAGAAAAAGATAAATATCACAAGATCTCACTCATTTGTGGAATATAATGAACACCATAAACTGATGAACAAAAACAGATCCAGAGACAGAGAAGCATCAATCAGACAGTCAAACCTCAGAGGGAAGGCAGGAGAGGGTGGGGGGAAAGGGGAGAGATCAACCAAAGGACTTGTATGCATGCATATAAGCCTAACCAATGGACACAGACACCAGGGGGTGAGAGCATGAGTGGGGAGTGTGTGTGTGTGTGTGGGGGGGGTATTGAGGGGATAAGGACACATATGTAATACCTTAATCAATAAAGGAAAAAAAAGGTGTAGAAAAATAATAGGAAAACACAGACAAATGTTAAATGTTGACTAATCGATATGGGAGAAATCTATCTCTGGTTCAATAGTGCATTTTCCTGTGTCTGGATTAAAAGTTTGGTGATTTACTTTGCTACCACCAATTCTTGAATGTTTTTATTCTACTTCAGTCACCGGTTAAAATGACAACTGGACTCTTTTAAAGGTGTTATTTTGTAGTTTAGTTCACAAAATGCCAGTGTGCTGAGCAATTCCTTTTTTTCTTCTTCTTCTTCTTCTTCTTCTTCTTCTTCTTCTTCTTCTTCTCTTCTTCTTCTATCATGTCTCTAGGGATTCCAAATATAAATTATCTGTGTAAAATGGGGCAAGTTTATCAAGTTGGAAAGCCTGCCTGATGACAGTGATTCTTGGCTATGTATTAGCTTTAAAAATTCCTGATACCTTGACCAATTAAAAACCAGAATTTCCAGGTTGGGACTCAGGCATCAGTATTTTTAAATCTCTCCAGTATTTTAAAACCTTCAGTGTGTTCTTAACGTCAGCATTGCATGCAGGGTGCTCGCCAGTGCTTTATCAGCAGAACTGCTCACTTCAGAGCTCACCGCTGAGGCATCAATGTTCCCCTTAATTACTCTCAGCCAGATATGAACGAACGCGAAGCTACGTAAAGTGCTCTTCAAGGGAGAAACATCAAGTGCTTGTTTATGACATAAGGTCAGAGTGTCAGAACTGTTTGGTCTCTAATGGATCTTAAAAATAGAGATCCTTATTTCATTATCTTTTAACTTATTCTACCCAGTGCCCTGCTTTCATCATTGTAAACAGGTTTTCCCCCTAGGCCCCTAATCTTTTCAAAATTTTTAGTTAGTTAGAACTAGAATTGGGCAGGACACACTATTATGTGGAAGAATCTGGCTAAATTTATATTGGGAATTGAGAAAGTAGGCATAAGAAGTCACATATACAAATAATCATCATTGTAACAAGTATTGGAAAGGAATAGATTGACATCAAACAAGATCAACGACAAGGAAATAACAATTGAATTAAAATATGGGCAAGAGGTCTGAACAGACCTGACTAAAGAAGATCTGCCAATGTCAAATAGAAGAAAAAATATTCAACATCATTTGTCATGAAAAATTATGGATTTAAACAACAATGAAGTGGCACCACACACCTATTAAATGGCTAGAATACAATAAAACAACAACAAACAAACTGGCGATATCAACTGCTGGTGGTGTAGAGCGACAGGAATTTTCATTCCTTGCTCCTAGGAGTGGAAAATGGCACAGGTACTTTGGAAGTGAGAGTGGCAGTTTCTTACAAAGCCAAACACAGACTTTCCATATGACCCAACAATTGTGCTTTTCGGTATTTATCCAAAAGATATAGCTGCATGTCTGCAAAATGATCTGTGTCGGATTATTTATTTTAGCGTTGTTAGCAACAATGCAAGGGGAGCAATCCCAAATGTCAATCAATAGACAATGGATTAAATTCAATGGATTTCTTTGTATCTATTAAAAAATGTGAGAAAACTCTCTATACACTGATCTGGAAAGTTCTCCAACCTATCTGGTTAAGTGATAAAAAATAAGCTGTAGAACTGTATGTGTAGCAAGTGGGCTTTATGTGTAAAAATGCAAATATAATTTACATACATATTTGCTCTTACATGTATAAAGTAATTCTGGAAAAATATAAGAAACAATGAGCTGTGATTACCTTGTTTGGAGAAGTGCTGGAAGCTGAATGAAGGTGGCTAAATTTTCATCGAATACTTTTGGTAACTTATGTTTGAGCCATGTATAAGTGTTACTATTCAAAAAGTTCAATGAGTAGCCTTCTGTTTGTTCAAGACAAAACTATTTTTGAGGTATTAGGAAACAATTGCCCGTCACTATTCATCCTTACTAGTGAATGACTCCCAACCTTGTGTATAGGCAGGCAAGATAATGGCCTTAGGGCTGAGATTGAAGAAACACCAGCAGAACTCCTTGACTCCAAAGTACAGGCTGCCGTCGTCTTGGACACATTCTGAAAACGTATAGATTGGTGAATGACTCAAAGTTCCATACTCCTTGTGGGTATTTACAAAGAAAAAAACGAATGAAAATTCCCTACTCTATATGTTTTTATTTATTTTTTAAAATATATTTTTATGGATTTTTAGAGAGGAAGGGAGAGGGAAAGGGAGATAGAAACATCAACAATGAGAGCTAATAATTGTTCTGCTGCCACCTGCACATCTCACACGGGGATCGAGCCCAAACCCGGGCATGTGCCCTGACTGGGAAGTGAACCGTGTCCTCCTGGTTCATAGGTCAATGCTCAACCACTGAGCAGCACTGGCTGGGTATCTGTTTTTAGAATGTGTCTTTGGAAAGGAGGTTGGCCGGACATATTCTGGCTGTCTAGGAGTTCTGCTTAGTTTTCTTCAGTCCCAACATGTAAGGCCATCACCTTGTCTGCTTTTACACAGGTTGGTTTTGCATGTTTAATGGAATTGAGTTTGGAACCTGCTAGGGGCAGAGCTTTCAGGCACAAATCCAAAAGTGCCATAGAGTAGCTTACAGGAATTGAGGTCATCCTTCTGGAATAAACAGAGCTTATCACGGTGAATTGAGATTGAAAGCTGAATGTGGTTTATTCTGATTTAAATATGACAAATCATAAACCACTACATATTAAAGTAGATGTGGCTTCATCTTCCATGACCGACACACTTCATCTTTATTCAGAAGAGATTTTGTAGTTCTACATGTTCATGATAGTAGCAGAAATAAAGCTTTTCTTGTCCAAAGCATTTTAAGTCCCTCAACTCTCTGGAAAAAAAACAAATGAATTGAAAAAGGAAATTT